TCTCTATTGTTTTCCTGTTTTCTATTCCATTGGTTTCTTCTCTAATCTTTATTATTTACATTCTTCTACTAAGTTTAGGTTTAATTTGCTCTTTCTCTACTTGTTTAAGGTGGAATCTAAGGTCATTGATTGGAGACCTTTCTTCTAAGTGTTTAGTACTATAAATTTCCCTGTAAATATGTATGTAGTTCCAAATATTTCCTAATTTTCCTTTTGATTTATTCTTTGACTTGTGGGTTATTTAGAAGTACCTAAGTTTTTTTTCCCCCAAATAATTGGATATTTCTCAGCTATCTTTCCATTACTAATATCTAGCTTAATTCCACTGTGGTCAAAGAACATATTTCATCTGCTTTGAATATTTTTAAATATCTTCAGCCTTATTTTATAGCCTATAATATAATCTATATTACAAATTTTTCTATGCACACTTGGAAAGAATGTGTACTCTTAACATTAAGTAGGATGTTATTAAAATGTCAATTAAGCCCTCACCGGTTTGGCTCAGTGGATAGAGCATCAGCTTGCAGACTGAAGGGTCCTAGGTTTGATTCTGGTCAAGGGCATGTACATTGGTTGCAGGCACATACCCAGTAGGGGGTGTGCAGGAGGCAGCTGATGGATGTTTCTCTTTCTCTCTCATCGATAGTTCTAACTCTCTATCCCTCTCTTTTCTCTCTGTAAAAATGATCAATAAAATGTATATATTTTTTAAATGTCAATTAAGTCAAATTGGTTGATAGTGTTGCTTAAGTCTTCTATAGCCTAATTTTTTATCTACTTGTTCTATCAGTTATTGAGAGAAGAGTATTGAAATCTCCAACTGTAATTGTGGGTGGGTTTTTTTTTTTTTCTGTTTTATACTTCTAAACATCTACCACCAAGGCCACACATGATACCAATTAATTTAGAATCTCTGGGGGGAAGGGATGACTCAGCCATCAGTATTTTCGTTAACTCCCTGAGTTTTCCCAAAGTGCAGTCAAGTTTGAGAGCCACTACCTTATGCAGGCCATGATGGATTCAACAGATTCTCAAATGCATTAGCTTTTTTAATCTTCATACCTGCTTCGAGGTCGGCATTATCCATTCCCATTTTACAGAAATTGAATCTTGGACACTTATCCAAGATCACACAGTTGATCAGAGAACCTAGCTGGAATTTAAACCCAGGTTTCCTAACTCAAAGTTTAATGCTTTTAAAATATTTTGTTCTATGAGGTATGTTTATTGACTTGAAGTTTTCTTCTATCTTATTCCCCTAATATACTGTTTGGGGTTGTGGGCAGAAGCCATGTCTAACCAAAACCTTATCATTTTCACTGGACCTACCACAGTGTCTGCCCCCTGGAGATGATTCTAAAGTTTTTCTTTTTCTTCTTGAAAGATCTAAGTATATGGGATCATCTGACCACATAGTCATCACTAATCTGCCTTTTTCATGGTCCATCCACAACCTAAGGTTTACATCAGGCTGTGATTAACCCTGGGCTCTTCTCCAAAAACCTTCTGAGGCTGCAGATTGTCAGTCCGTTAATATATGACGTTGGCAGCCAGGGATCAGATTTTGCCCTGAGCTACCCACACAAGTTTGGAGCAAGATTATGAGGGAAGAGCATCTTGGGGAGAATGCATCTCCTATGTGTAAAGGCTGTTTTGTTTGAGTGCTTGCAAGTTCTCCTATGTGTAAAGGCTGTTTTGTTTGAGTGCTTGCAAGTCCTGGAGGAATAATTTAAATCATCAGAAATGATTTAAATTATTCCTCCAGGTAAATGCCTCCAGAGAAATGATCAGTCAAAAAATGGACCGTTAATGTTTTTAAGATAATGTACGTTCCAAAGAAATAAAGGCTAAGGAAGTGTCTCTTTTTTCTGTCTGTCTGTCTCTGTCTCTTATCTATATTTTATTATATTTTTTCCTCAGGTATCATCACCCTCAATATAGACTAATGAATTAGTGTGTGCTTGTTCCTTTTCAGAAATATTCAACTATGCAAATCCTTTCCCCAAAACTGCCTTCTTAGACCTATTTCTTCTGTTATCTTCACATCCTCACCTGACTCCTCTCATCAATAAGTTGCATTCTGAACTCAATACTTGATAGTTGCTGATGTGACTTCCTCTGTTTTGAATGTTTTCTCACTTATGGTCCAAAGTTATAAACAATCACAAGTTAGGGAGCTTGGGCATCCTTTTTTTAAAAAAAGGAATTATTTATTACTAAGACAAATCTACAACCATCACTCTTTTTTTCACCACTTAACACAACCACTTTCTGTTCTCCTAAATTTCCTCCCAGTCTTCAGTCAGATATAGAAATATTTTACATAATTATAAAGCTTATGTAATTTTTGTGTTCTTGTTTAACATGACTTACGAACACTTTCACTGATCTTGCAGTCTTCCTAATTATCATCTTTTGTGGCTGTATAGTTTCCCCTAGATATATCGTAATTTCCGTGTTGCTGTGCAACAAGTTGTTTCGAGTTTTCACTGTTATTAGTGATTCTCCCATAAACATCTAGGTATATATAAAGATTTGGCCACTTTTTCATTTGAATTATTTCCTTTGTAGAAATTTCCAAGAATACTTTTACCATTTTGAAGGGTTTGAATGACTTTAAGGGATGATGAGTCCTTAAAAAGGCAGTACCAAAAAGTTCATAGCCCATGTCATAACTTTTAAAATTATGTTAAAATTTTAAAATTAGTTTTAAAATTAATTACGACACAGAAAGGCCAAGATATTTCCTAAAGCAGCACTCTGTCCATTCTCATTTCACAGAGTGGTCCAAGCAATGCATGATGAATGTGTCTCCATCACCTTATTCTTTAGTCCACTGAAGCCCCCTAAAAAAGTGAACCAATTCCTCCCACATTTTAAGTGATGAACTTTTGGAATAAGCCTTAAAAAAAACTCCAGAACAAAACCATGGGGCAAATCAAAGATACACTTCCTGGGATAAGTGCTGTCTTAGAAATGAAATGAAGGCATAAAGTGTGTGTGGCAGGAGGGTGGTGGGGAGGGGGTGCAGATCAGATATGATTGGAACGCCAGTGTCACAGTTGTCCCCTGCAAATTGGTCTCTGGGAGCTGGGTCAAGGCAGCCGAGTTGAAAGGCAAACACAGACAGCAGCTGTTGAGGATGTAAAGTCTTTGGCCGGAGTGGATAGGGAGCTGGGTGTGGTCACCCAGAGGCCAGTTTCCACCCCACCCTACAGGCCCAGTGACAGGCTGAGAAGAGAGAACTTCCCGTGTTGCATTCCAGTCCTCCTCTCTGGGCTTAGTGGGAATGCCTGTAGCAGTGTCGGAGGCGGGCTACAACTGCCTGCTTGCGCTGCACGCATCTCCCTCAAGGGTATCCACTCCTGAAAGACTCCAAGGCTTCTGAGAATGTCATGTCCAGAGAGCCTGGAAGCAGGGTGGACCTGAGACTGCTGCATGGTCCCAGCTATAGCCCTAAGTCTGAAGCACAAGTAAATCCCACTCACCGTGGTCGAGGGGCTGAGCCAAACTGCAGGAGCATGTGGGTCCTTCCTGCATTGCACAAGCAAGTGCCGGCTACATGGGCCACACCAGCCCAAGGATTTCCCAGAACATTTGACAAGAGCCCACCCACCCAGCTGCATCACTGAGCAAGGAATCTGCATTATTCATTTCAACATCACTTTTCTTGGAAACCCTGACTGCTCCACTCTCCAGAAATCATCCATCAAACTTTCTCTTTGTGGAAGTCATACTGTGAAAACTCCCGTAATCAAATTTCCCACATTAGGATCCCTGCTGATAATTACATAACAACAGAGTCAAGAGGGGAAAGAGTGGATCAAGCACTGACATCTTTTATTTCTGTCTTTTAACTGTTTATCATGACAATTTTCAAACACACACAAAATGAGAAAGGATGAAATAATGGACCCCCATGTCCCCACCACCCAGCCTGAACAATCTCCATATGGGCCAATCTTGTTTCATCTATCACTTCCCATCCCACTTTCATTCCCCCCCCCCCCGCCCCCCAAATAGGCACACATTTTTTTTTTACTAGAATTTTTAAAATCAAGTCCTAGACACTGTCATTTCCCTCATAAATAACTTCAGCATGCATCTGTTACTAACAAGGACTTTCTTTTTGACATAACCTCTATTGGCACGAGTACTTATTAACTACTGGTATTTGTTTAGCATTTAACTTTTGGTGCAAGGTAAGATTCTTTACACAGTTTATTTCATGAAACCTCAGCATGGCAAAGAATCACCTTAAACATTCACAAACCCCAGGAGAAAGAAATGCTCTAGTTTTATAACATTGCTATTTGCTCATGAGGAAAACTGCTCAACCCAGTCAAAGTGAGCTGTGGCAAGGCTGCGGTCTGGGAACTCGCAGAGCTTGGAACAAGAGGCATGTCAGAGCCTGACGGGCTCCAGCCCCCTGGGTATGCAGGGTATTAAAAGGGTACTGCTTCCTCATCTGAAAACTGCCTTTTTTTTTTAACTACCTTACACCTACCACTTGAAGTCACATTGTCAAGACAGAAACACCCCGCTTCTTGAAAAGGTTGTGCCTTCTGTAAGACACCATTCAGCAAAAGAGTTTTGAAAATTTAATTTACATTTCTGCTCATCAGGTGTATATGCATAGGAAGCACAAGGGAAATGTGGCTTCAAGCAAAAGCAACCTCCAAAGAAGTATTTCTGTTTGCTGTGTCCTGTTCCTTTGCAATCTCTGCGCCTCACCTAAATATCTACACTCAGGAGATTGAAGCAGAGTAGCTACCTTGGGTTGACTTACCCCAGTAAAGGTGGGGACTGCAGAAGCAGAGCTTGGGACGAGCCTTTGCCTAAAGGACGGGCTGATAAACCAACCCACTGTCAGTCACGAAGATCCTGGGCTTCTGCCTGCAGCCAGGCCTTCTAACTCCTGTACTTAAGACCCCAGGTCAGCCCAGATAGACAGTCACAATGCAGCACTGACTTTCCCTTGTTATTCCCTCCTGCAGGTTCTCAGCACCACACAAGATTGCTACCACCGAATCTGCCTTGGGTTCTGATGGGCCCAGATTGGATGTGATGCTCTCCGCAGGTCCCGTCAGCTGTGGCTGGACATCGGGACGTGCTATACAAAGAAGCTACCAGGAACTACAGTTGTGGGTGAGGGCTGTACATAAGGAGAAAGATGGGTTTTGTAAGCCTGGCCAGCACTGTACAGAGTGCTCACTAAAAAAAAAACGAGCTGTTTTTATATGCTTTGATAGATGTTCCCTCCACCTGGACCATCCCTCAGATGTCTATGTGACTTGCCCTTTTGTCACCTTCCCTTCTTTCGGGTCTCTGCACAAGTGCCCCATTATCAGGGAGGCCTTCCCCAGCCACCTACATCCAGTAGCACACACCCACTGCCACTCTCGAGCCCTTAGTTCTGCCTCGTGTGTCTCTGTACCCTTGATCACAGCCTGACACTTATTATTTGTTGTCTGTTTTGGTCACTACGGTATCCCCTGAATTTAGAACAGTGCCAGGCATACGGCAAGGGTTTGACACATTTGCGCAGAATGAATGATCTACTTAAGAACCAGATCTTCTCTACTACCACACGTGACTGATCAGAGCGGGCACTGTTGACAAATAGGGGCTCCACAGGAAATCTATGGGGAGATGGATACATAGGAGCTTTCAAGAGCCAACCCTCCCCGCTCCCCCCGTCCCCCCCCCCCCATTCCTCGTGGTTGTAATAGGAATATCTGTTTCTTAAATCTGTATGCTGTGTGACTAGAGATTGTGACCACCAGCTCATACTTTGCTCTTGCTCATCAGGGTCCACGTGAAACTTCCCGATGGCCTGTCTGTAAACCTTCAAGCACGGACACTTTAAGAATAACGTGTCCCTCTCAGAGCTCCACCACTGAAAGGTGTGCCTTCAACAACAGAAAGATTTATGACTTTCTTCCCCCACAGAAAAACCACAGAAATATTTCCTTCTTGACTGCAGCAGGGAGTTCCAAGTCTCATTAAAGAACCGGCCAGATGCTTCCTCCTAGCTTGTGTGGGAAGAAGTTCAGATAAAGAGCATTTGAAACTCTACCTCGCACACCTGCCTCGTACCTTATTCCCTTCTGGCGGGGCTTCCTGTTTTCCCAAGTTCAGGGCCGTAGGGCCGTGTGTGTCCTGCCTCCCCAGACAGCTGGGGCTCTAGAAGCTCCTGGCCCCTCTCCTTCTGGTATTAATAATAGACGGCTCTCATTGAATTGCACACCTGCCATACACCAGGCCCTGCACTATACAAATTGTCTCAAATTCTTCACCCCCAAACTGGAAAAGAGCTGTAACCTGAGAGTCTGCCGTCTGGATGGTCCCTGTATCTGTAATAGCAGAATCTGTCTGTCTGCCTCTGTCACCAAGAATCACTTTCCTCCAGTGTATTTGCAGAGAGGAAGTTGGTCTCTTATCTCCAAAGCCAGTCCGGGCTGCAGGAGCCTGTTCCTCTGCTTTTATCTGCTCCAGAACTCCACAGCCAAGGTCCCTGCTCTTGTGTGTGAGTTCTGCTCTGTGCTCCGGGGTGCCCTCTTCCCCTGACCCTCAGAGTAATGGCCCCTGAGAACGTTCCCCTCCTGGAACCGTGGATGTGTTACCTTACAGAGGATTTTGCAGATGTGATTATGGGAAGGACCTTGCGATGGGGAGATTCTCCTCGATTATCTGAGTGAGCACCATGTAATCTCTAGTGTCCTTATACGGGAAACAGGGAGGCAGGAGAATCAGTCAGAGGAGGAGATGTGGTCATAGAAACAGAGGTCAGAAGGATGTGAGGAGGGGCCGAGGAATGCAGGTAGTCGTTAGGCGCTGAAAAAGGCAAGGAAACCGATTCTCACCCAGAGTCTCCAGAAGGAATGCAGCCTTGCAGACACCTTGTTTTAGGTCTCCTGACCTCCAGGCCAGTGAGATAATAAATGCGTGGTATGTTGAAGCCACTGTTTGTGGTCATTTGTTACACCAGCAGTAGGAAACTAATACCAGGGAGGATGCGGGGGAGCCACTTTGCCCTGTTGTCTTGCTCCTTAATGCCACACCTCTATCACATACGTGTAAGCCACTTCATTAAAAGTTTGGCAATAAGTAGAAGGCAAAAAAAAAAAAAAGCTGAGTATTAAATATGATTGTTCCCAGAACCCAAGAGAAGAAGGAAACCCTTTAGTGGGGTCTGTTTGTGGGCATCCCCTATTTCTCAGCCTTGCCGACCAGCCCCAAGGCGGACCCTCTTTTTCTTCTTTTCCTCTGTGAGCCTGCTTTCTCTTCTCCATGGCAACATGTATTCATTCGACATTTTTTTTTTTTTACTATCTACTGTGTCCCAGGCACTGTTCTAAGGTGCTGGAAATTGAGCAGTGAACGTAAAAAAGAAATAATACAAGCTATCACAGTGCTTACATTTCATGATATTCCCACCCAACCCTTGCCCTCTACCCCATATAGGCTAATCCGGAAAATACAGATAATCCACAGCAATACATTTCTCAACGTATGAGCTACTCGATTACAAATCATGCCATGTAATTAGATGACTGCCAGAATAATCCGCCCAGGCTTCATTTCTCCCATTCTTGTTCTCTTCAGGGTCCCTCCGCTAACACAAAGTCAAAGATACGCCTCCTCATTCTTCCTGTGGTCTTCTGATCTCCTGTGAGTAATTACTGGATCACACACCCCAAAGGCAAACCATCAGAGTCGGTCTAAATGCACATTGAAGAGGGGAGAGGGGGCTCGGCAGGTTTCACTCCGTAGTTGAGTGTCGGCCCAGGAGCCAGTTTGATTCCTGGTCAGGGCATATGCCTGGGTTTCGGGCTCAATCCCCAGATAGATGATGTTTCTCTCTCATTGATGTTTCTATCTCTCTATCCCTTTCCCTTCCTATCTCTCTAAAAATAAAAAATAAAAAGCATTTAAAAAAAAAAGAGAGAGAGGATGAGGACCTTCCTGAAGGCGACATACCCTGCCCAACTAAATAAGGACTGGCCTTTGCTTTTGTTCGGCAGGGCAGCTTCAGTTCCCCTTTTCTCAGACCCCACCCGTACACTGTGCTCAGGGCCCACCTGGCGCCAGAAACGCTGCCCATCACCGTGTCTTTCCCAGCAGAAAGACGTCTGCTCATTGCCATCATCCCCTGCTACCCAGAGAACTGGTGGAAGCTTGATAGATGTTGAGCCACATCAAATTCCTACCCAGGGCTTCCTCTACTAACAGACTCCACCAGGAAGTGGATCTGTGCTCTGTGCCCCAACCATAGTGAGCCCTCAAGAGTTGTGGCACTTTTCTTCTAGTTATAGAGAGGAACCCTCAAGAGTAAGTACCTCTTTTTAATCACTGATAAGCGATCCTCTCCTCTTCTCTTATGGCCTTTCCTAACCAAGAGTGCACAGACACCGTCAAGCAAATACTTTTGATTAAAGCAAATGTGAACTCTCTGGGCACTGGGAAATTTCAGAAGGAAGAATTGTGAGCTGTAGATTCTGATTAAGCTTACCACCATTAGCTATCCTATAATGCTGGTTGCAGAATAATTATTAAAATATAAATATTAATATATTAACTATGTATTTACTGGGTGCCAGGGATTTTATTACACGTTTTTTCTTGTAGTCGCTCATTTAGTCCTCCCCAATCAAGTTAGGACTGCTCTTACCCATATTTCACAGATGAGGAAATTGAGGCTGTAGGGGTTAAGAAAACTGCCCTAAGGTCACACCTCCAGTTGGTGGCAGAGGCAGGCCTCAAACATATTTGCCTGCTCGTCAGACCCTAACCACTCTGCTATCCTGTTGAGCTGTGTTTAGCAACTAGAGGGCCCCCAGGGTGGGACCTTCATCTTCATTTCCATTTTTAAGTGACTATAATAAAAGAGGAAAAGACAGGTTTCATGAGACTTGACCACCCTGAAAATTAAAGATAGAAGAAACCTGAAGCCAGGAATAAGAAATACTTTTAAATTATAGCTAATTGAGCAACGGGTAAGTTTGGAAATGTGTGGTTTAGAGTCAAGAGCAGTGTAGGGACCAGTGGCAACATTTGTTTTGAAAGTGTCAAGGGCTGCCACCTCCATTTAGATGCCTTTAACAAATGAGTCTAAAACACTCTAAAGAGAATCCCAGCAGAGATGACAAGCCAAGAACGCTTGGCTCACAAAAGAATGGGGGCTGCCTCTTCCCAAGTTACCATGCACAGAAGCAAAACTTGGCAGAATCTGAAACAAAGGATTTTGATCTTGTTCCTACCATTGCTTCCACAGAAGGGAGCAGACAAGCCCACCGGGTTACATCTGCCACGACTCCTGAAGGCTCCTGCTGGGCGCTGCTTGGGAGAGAATCCTACCCTGCCCTGTGCCCAGAACCAGCCCCTCTGGAGTCAGCCCCCAAAATGCAAGGCCGGAGTTACCCCTACTTCATTCCGGCAGAGTTTTGTTTCTTGAGGAAATGTTCCACGTGTATTCGAACCACTGCTCTGACACCATTTTCATTGAGTAATTCCTGGTGATGTCACACCAGCCAGGCACTAGGGGAAGCCCTGCTTTTATGGGTTGGCTCTTAATTTAGAAATTTTTATATTCTGACTCCCCTCCCTTTTCTTTTCTGGACTCCACTGCTTTTGAGCAAGATGCCTGAGTGGTGAAGTGTTGCCTGCTTCTGCGAAAAGGAATTCCTGCTCGTTGAGAGGCAAATGGTTGAGCGAAGGCAAGATGTGTGTCCCGTAATAGTATGTCTTAATTGGAGAGTTGGCAAGAGAGGAATGATGTGTGGGCCTGGTGTGGGCTCTGCGGCTCCTCATGGGGTTCTTGGAGCTCAGCTGAGATGGACTGGGGACGGCAGGACTCACAACCACTCCCTGGCGCCACAATCACGGGTACCTGAGGAGCACAGGGCCTCCTGCAAGGCACCTGGGCAGCCACATCGAACCCACATCCCCACACCTTCCTCCCACGCCTCTCGGCTGCTCTGTGCAGTGAGCCGGCAAAGGCCAGCTTGGCAAACCTCGCCTGCAAAGCCTAATCCAAACAGCATGTCCGCTGAGCTCAGCGGGTGACTCATGTGCAGTGATGTGTGAGGCCAGCAAGCAGAGATTAGGATCTGGCCCGCCCGCCAGCCTGCCCCGCACTTCCTTTGATCAACTCTGATGGTTTTTAATTCTGCAGAAGCAGCTTCCTGCCAGCGGCAAGGCGCACCTCTCCGTGCTGACCTACTTGTCAGAGGGGAGGCTGGTGCGTCCTGAAGGCACAGGGACTGACACCCTGGGCTCAGAGCCCACACGGAGCCAGGGAGGGGAGCCTCTGTCGCAGAGGTGCCCATGGTGACATCAGAAGCTTGCTCCTCAGCCAACACCAGCAAGGCCACGCGTGTGAGCAGCCTGGGTGCTGGACCTGTTGCTGGCATTGGTCAGAATCATTGCGTAGTAAAGCAAAATGGGACTCTCTCCAGGGGCCCTTCTGTGGTCTGCTGGGGCCTAAAGGACAGTGTCTGGCACACAACGAAGCACTCTCTGGGTTCTTCAGGAGTTCTTTTTCACATCTGTTTTGCTCGAAATGGAACACATTCAGAGTATATTGCTTTCTTGAACTTTTTTCCCCCTGCTTGAGTGGAATGTGTTTGGCTCTGGGTTCTCCCACATTCCCTCAATGACAGATGCCAAGCAGAGCACCTGAAACCAGGTCTCCTTCTCTCTCCCTCTCCTCTCCGATCTTGCTCTCTCACTTTTCTCAGGAAGTAGAGGAGTGATTCTCAATCTCGGCTACACGTTAGAACGACCCTGGGGAGCTGGGGGAAGGAAAACAACACAATGATTCCCAGAATAATTCACTCAGAGCCTCTGAGGGTAGGACCAGACATCAAAGCTCGCCATTGTGCAGGCAAGGCTGGAATTCATTAAAATGTTAGGGTCTCATGGCCTCAGCTGCTAGTCCTCAGAATGGTTCCTATTTCCCTGGCTGTCCTCCCGACCACCATTCAATGTGAGGGCCTTTTGAGACTGGTGTGTACTTTAACCAGGGTAAGGTAATAAGACGTTATCTGGGTGGGATAGCTAGCCTACTTTTTAAG